CACCGTAATGGCGCACGACTAGCCGGATCTGGCTGGTCGTACGCCGATAAGGCCTAATCCGGCCAGACCTGGCCGTGAATATGGCCATTTCATGGCTAGATCTGGCCGTTAATATGGCCATTTCATGGCAAAAGATGTGGCCGTGAACGGCCACAGCTCAGGCCGTGAAAAGACCAGATATTTGGCCGTGAAACGGTCAAAGATCTGGCCTTTTCAAGGCCAGATCTGTGGCATTTCACGGCCACATCTTTGGCCATGAAACGGCCAGATCTGGTTGTTTCCGGCCATGGATCACAAATCCATGGCCGAAAACGTCCTTATCGGCACACGACTGGCAAGATCCTGCCGGTCTTGTGCCGATATGACGAATTTCGCCGACGGCCAGCGGTGGTGGCTAGCGGCCGACGGTGGTCTTTGATGGTTGGGGGTATTTTGTTAACTTTTAAACTTTTTTTGTGGCGGAGGTGTTTTAGCTAAATTCTCAAATGTAGGGGGTTTCGGTAATTGTTATTTGGTAGACATATGAGGGCAAATATGTCCGAAATGATAAATTATTAAGGGCAAAATAGGGTCAAAATTAAGATTACCTCGGTAATCTTAAAATAACACCCCTTGGGAAGGTAATCTGATTACCCTTAATATTACCAACAGTAAACACTATTTGCAATAAAAGATTACGTAATATTTTATTACTTGACAATCAAATGAGGGAATCTTGAAAATTAAACAAAGATTACAGAATTAATCTTATATCACCCTAAACCAAACGCTACCAAAGAAAATGGACGTAATCAGATTACTTCTTATATTACCAATAGTAATTACTTTTGGTTTTGGAAGTGTTACAAATTATGTAAGTTTCAGAGAGAGTCGGGAAGAAGAAGTTTTATTCAATTGATTCTGTTTCTTTTTACAACTAATTTCTTTCTCTTAAATAACTAATCACTATGACTAATTACATTGAGACATCTGGACTTCCTATTTATAAACCTGCTTCTATTATTTAAAATTCATAAACATCATCCAATATCCCCCCTCAAGCTTGGTAACGATTGATGAATATCAAGCATACCAAGCTTGGCCATTAAGAGTTGATGCTGCTTCTTGCAGAGCCCTTTAGTCAACAAATCAGCAGGTTGCTCAGTGGTGGAGATGTGAGCAGTGTGAATCAAGTTGCTAGCAATTTTCTCTCGGATCAAATGACAATCAATCTCCACATGTTTAGTCCGTTCATGATATACAGGATTAGCAGCAATGTGTAGGGCAGCTTTGTTGTCACAATATAAGAGAGCAGGTTCTGGAAGTTTGATACCCAAATCGAGAAGAAGATTTTGGAGCCAAGTAATTTCACAACAGGTGGAGGCCATGGATCGATATTCAGCTTCACAAGATGATCTAGAAACAGTAGATTGTTTCTTGGTTTTCCAGGAGATCAAGGAGTCCCCAAATTTAATGCAGTAACCAGTTAAAGATCTTCTGGTTGAAGGGCAAGCAGCCCAGTCAGCATCACAATAAGCTACGAGCTTATATTTCTTCTTAGAAGGGAAAAAAATACCAGTACCAGGGCTCTGTTTGAGATACCTTAGCACTCTATAAGCAGCTTCCAGATGAGATTTCTTCGAAGAATGCATATATTGACTCAAATGCTGAACAGAATAAGAAAGATCCGGTCGAGTCATGCATAGGTAGATTAGCTTACCTACTAATCTTTGATAAGAGGAAGCACTCTTAAGAAGTGGATCAGCTGTAGTGGTGCCAGCAAGCTCGTCAAGTTCATGAGAAGTTAGCTTGAGATGTTGCTCATATGGTGTGTCTGCAGGTCGAGACCCTATCTGACCAGTTTCTGAAAGAATTTCCAGAGCATATTTACGCTGATTCATGACCAGACTATGTTTGGATCTACTGATTTCCATCCTAAGAAAATATCGCAACTGACCCAAATCCTTAATCTTGAAACTGTCATTGAGATATTGCTTCACCTCTTCAATGGCAGCAAAACTATTTCCTGTAATCAAAATGTCATCAACATATACCAACAAAATAACCATACTATCTCCTGAGGTTTTGGTAAACAAAGAATAATCGTTTTTTTATTGGACAAACCCATTATCTAATAAGGCAGTGGTAAATTTATGATGCCATTGTCTAGAAGCCTGCTTCAACCCATATAAAGACTTCAACAACTTACAAACCTTGTGTTTCAGCTCAGATTGATTAGTTAGGCCTGGAGGAACTTGCATGTATATTTCTTCATTTAAATCTCCTTGAAGAAATGCATTATACACATCCATTTGATAAATTCCCCAATCATTCATCGCAGCTAAAGCTAAAATGGTTCTAACAGTGACTATTTTAGCCACCGGTGAAAAAGTTTCTGTGTAGTCAATACCCTCCTGTTGAGTATATCCCTTGGCCACTAAGCGAGTCTTGTATCTTTCTAGGCTGCCATCAGCTTTCAATTTAACTTTATAAACCCATTTACAACCAATTGCTTTCTTGCCAGGTGGAAGAGGAACTAATTCCCATGTTCCATTTGATTCTAAAGCTTGAATTTATGTGGCCATAGCTTGCCTCCAGTTTGGGTCCTGAATGGCTTCTTTGAATGTGGTGGGTTCAGACATATTGGAGATGGCAGAAAGAAGACATTGATAACCAGGAGATAGGTTTGTATAGGAAAGAAAATTAGAGATAGGATGGTTTGACTTAGAGGAAAAAACATAATCTTTTTGCCAAATGGGAGGTTTAGATATTCTAGTAGATCTGCGAAGCAAATTTGGATCAGGCTGTGAAATAGAATTAGAATAAGGTAAAGAATCAGTACCTGAAGATGATGAAGAAGCATTGGAAGGATCTGCCATTGAGGTCCCAGTGGAAGTGTCTAAAATAGGAATTTGATTTATAGCCACAATAAGATTGTCACCACCAAAAACATTTGATTCATTATATAAACAACCATTATCAGGAAACATTTTGAAAGAATGAGAAATGAGTGCAGGATCAACAAATGGAAAAATATTTTCATGAAAGGTGACACCTCTACTAACAAAAACCTTTTTAGAATGAAGATCAAACACCTTATAACCCTTTTGGAATGGAGGGTATCCTATGAAAATACATGGAACAGCTCTTAGAGAAAATTTGTCTAATTTGGGTAAAAAACTTGCATAACATAGACAACCAAATACTCGAAGGTGTGAAATATGTGGAGGTTTGTGATATAATATTTCAAAGGGTGATTTATTTTGGAGAAGTGGGGTAGGAATTCTGTTGAGAATATAGGTAGAGGCCAAGATACATTCTCCCCAAATAATGGCAAGTATATGAGATTGAAATTTTAATGCTCTGGCTATATTAAGGATGTGTCTATGCTTTCTCTCCACAATGCCATTTTGCTGAGGGGTATAAGGGCAAGAACTTTCATGAATGATTCCATGTGAATTAAGAAAAGTTGTAAAATCGGTGCTAAAAAATTCAGCACCATTGTCTGTCCTGATTCGTTTGATGGTAACATTAAATTGATTGTTAATCATGAAGACAAAGTTTTTAAAGATATGAAATGTATCAGATTTAATGGCCATCAAATATGTCCATGTGGCACGAGAATAATCATCCACAAGAGTTAAAAAATATCTAAAACCATTGTAAGTAGAATGTTTGTAAGGACCCCATATATCAATATGAACTAAATAAAAAATGGCATTAGTAGAAGAAACACGAGTAGGAAAAGCTTGTCTGCATTGCTTAGCCAAAGGGCAAGTTTTACAATGGGAAATAGGATCTTTGATAAACTGGTCATTTAAAGAAGAAATCAATTTCAACCTAGAAACAGAAGCATGACCTAGTCTATGATGCCATATTATACTGGAAACAGAATTACATGTAGTAATGGTTTTATTGAATGATGAAAACAGACTAGAATTTTGTTGTTGAATCAGATAGTACAACCCATGGTGCTCTTTACCAATCGCTATCGTCGATCCACTCCATAGGTCCTGAAACAGACAGAATTTTGGGAAAAAAATGACATGGACATTGTTATCTTTACAAAACTTGGAGATGGATAACAAATTGTATTTAAATTGTGGTATAAAAAGGACTTTATGTAACATAAGATTTGGAGATAGACAAACATCACCAATATGAGTAACTGAAGCAGACAAACCATTTGGTAATCTAACATCACGATTTATGGAAGAAGCATATGGTTGCACATTATTCAAGCAATATAAATCACATGTCATATGTTCATTAGCTCCAGTATCTAAGATCTAAGCACTACTCAGGGCAGAGGCCATAAGAGAAACAGAAGTACCTGCAACATTGGTGGAGGAATCAATACCTTGCACAGCATTTGCAATGATAGGAAAACCATCTTTGCCCAAGAGCTTCAAAATTTCCTGATATTGTGCAGCAGAGAAGATTGGGTTACTGATAGGTGCAGAAGGCTGTGAAGGTTGAAGTGAAATTAAAGATTGCTCCTCTGGTGTATAGACAGTATTATGAGCTATCGGCGATTTATTAGTGCTATTTTTCTTATTCCTGTTCCTCTTACGATTATCAGGATAGCCATGAAGCTTCCAACAGAAATCAATTGTGTGGTTCTTAAAATGGCAAAAGTCACATTGCATTATTTTCTTCTTAGATTGCAAATCTTTATTGCCTGTATTAGATGAATGGGTAATAGTGTTCTGAGTAAGAAAAGTCGCAGCATCAGACTGACTTTGAGTAGAATGGGTAATTCCCCTCTGTTTTTCTTCCTGAATGAGCATCCCATATACCACATTCACCGAAGGCAAATGATTCATTAAAAGAACAGAACTACGAACAGCAGCATATCCTTCATTCAATCCCATCAAAAACTGCATAACCTTTTGAGTTTTCTCATGTTCTTTATAGATGGTAGAGGAAGCACAGGTGCAAGTCGGGGTAGGTACAATAGATGAGTATTCATCCCAAAGAACCTTCAATTTCGTATAGTAAACAGCAATTGAGGCCGAACCTTACTGCATTGTGGCAATGTCTTGCATAATTGAGTATATTCGTGAACCATTGACTTTGTCAAAATTCTCCTGAAGATCTTGCCAAACCGTCATAGCACTGGTCCCATAGATGACCCTAGCTACTAGATCTTTAGAAATAGAGTTCATGATCCATGACATTACCGTAGCATTGCAACGATCCCATTGTTGTGCTTGGAGAGGATTAGTAGGACGTTCAATGGTTCCATCAATAAACCCTAATTTGTTCTTAGCAAGTAATGCGATCTTCATCGCACGACTCCACGTACTATAATTGTCACTTCCAGTCAAAATTTGACTTACAATCTGACTTCCCGGCGTATCTGAAGGATGTATGAACAGTGGACTGTTGTAATCAGCGGCCATGATTGCAGCAGGAAAAGACCCAGAGTTGTTTGACTCCATTAGTGAAAAAATTGTGACGAAGAAGAAAAATTGAGAATCAATTGAGTGAAGACGAAAAATTCGAGTTGATTCAGTCTCGATTTTGAAAAAATATGGCGGAAATTTGGTGGTTTTGACCCAAGATTGGTTGCTCTGATACCATGTTACAAATTATGTAAGTTTCAGAAAGAGTCGGGAAGAAGAAGTTTTATTCAATTGATTCTGTTCCTTTTTACAACTAATATCTTTCTCTTAAATAACTAATCACTATGACCAATTACATTGAGACATCTGGACTTCCTAGTTATAAACCTGCTTCTATTATTTACAATTCATAAACATCATCCAATAGGAAGATTATCGGAATCTTATATTATTTGACAACCAAACGTAGTAATCTAAGTAATATAAGATGACATTACCTCAGAAATGAGCGATTACCCCCGACCAAACACACACCGAAGTACTTAATCTTTTATAATACTACAGAAGGTTCATTCAACCATAAGAAATTTCCGGGTTTTGTCTTTTGTGCCATTGTGGAAGCCGAAGATTATGATTGTTTGGACAATTCCTTGAATGTTCTGTATGAGTTGCGTGTGAAATGCCCTGATGATTACATGAGATTTGATGAAAACTACTTTCAGTTGGAAGGGCGAATATTAAGTCAGATCAAGTACTACTGGGTATAATAGCAATACATGTGAAGTTTTTGAATTCTCCGGACCATTATCATGTACCTGAAAAGAATATAAAGAAGTGTGGGATCCGTCTCTTGTTCACTCGAGTTTGAGGAACCTATGTATTTGATGAAGACGACGAGCAAGAGGAAGAATACTCCAAGGGATTAAAATCTTCCGAAAAATTTAAAGGCGAATCTAGCTCAAGCGCATTGATTTATTTTGTATATTAATTATTTGATCTTGATTTCTGATATGCCTTTGTTGTTTCTTTATATTATCAACTTGGATGAGAAAAGTTCTGGTTCGCATCTAGTACAACATGAGAAAGAAGTGGAAGAGTTCAATCCAAGTACCAACGAATAAACATATTGGATGCACCAAATATAAGGGATGAATTTAATTTGAAAATCATTGATTGAGGGAAATTTACCATTGTTGTTATGCTTTGGGTCCAGAGCTTTTTAACTTTTGATTCCTTATGTTTTATAATTCTCATCAGCATTACCTTGTGAACCTTCTGTACACTTGCATGGACTTCAAAATGATAACGTTCTGAGTGGTAATGATAAACTTTAATACGTATGGGAGTCTTTCAAAACGAGTTCAACCTAATATTTTTTTTTATTAGATTATTGAATTATTTATATAACTATCTGATTCTTTTATCTATCTTTGGACCCCAAAAAAAAAAAAAAAAAAAAAAAACAGGGAAATTGGTGGGGATCCAACCCGCTGGATTTTCTATGGTCAAAAGATAAAAGGGAAATTGGTGAAAAGCGAAAGTTGATGGGGTTAGGTTTTCTTTTGTATTATGTGGATTGTGAAGGGTGAAATTCTGTAATTAATATGGCTACAATTAGGGATGTAGCCAAGATTTTTAGTCAGTGGAGTCAAAATATCAACTATGAATCGAATCTCAAATCTTATAACTTAAGTTTTTTAAACAATTTATATTAACCTAATAAAATTATTCATAATCTCATAAAAACTCATCAAATCTAACTCTAAATGCTAAACAATTAACATATTTATCAAAATTAAACCAAATCCTCAAATCTCTACAACTTAGAGTTTCATCAATTTTTTAAACTCATTCAAACTTAATTCAATAACTATCTAAAATTTATCTAACCCAACTTTATAAACAATAATTAATCAACTCATACCTCAACAATAAATAAAATTAAATCAAAACTCACATCAAAATCTAGGAATTTAATCTTCTAAATTTAAACTTATTTATTAAACTCAACAAAAACTCATAGCTCATGATCTTTCATTAATTAAAAAAGCTAAAGAAACTTTAAAAAAAAAAAAAAAAAAAAAAAAAAAAAAAAAAAAAAAGTATCATCTTACCTTGTAACCTCAGGAATATCTTCTTGAGCAATCCAAGCAATAAGAAGAAAGTAGAAAAAAATGAGAGAAATGAAGGGGAGAAAAAGTAAAAAAGTGTTATATCAAATTTTTGTGAGTCAATAATTGTAAATTCCATATATATAAGCTTTTTAATTTTTCTTTAAAAAATGGAGTGGGTTCATTGAACCCATAAGCGTGGGTGTTGCTACATTCCTGACCACAATTCAACCTAAAATGATAATAATATTATCAGTGATACGATCCTTGTTCTTCACATATTGATGGTTCTGTCTATAATGTGATTACATTTATTTGCTTTACCATGCTCCAAGTCAGAGCTTGAGTGAACAATGTTACCTTTTGCTTATTAGAAGCTCACATTGAAGAAGAATGTGAACTAATTAAATATTTTTTTTTCAAGGGTTAAATTAATGAATGAGTATCTAAATCTACACCTCAAACCCCAAATTGGGTGCATATCGAACCCACCCCCGTATTAAATTGGATTAAATAAATCTAATAATAGAAATGGAGGTGAAATTTGGTATAATCTTTAGAACTTAGAAGATTACGGTCACTTTGTAGTATTTGCTAACATAATGTACATGAAATGAAGCTTTCCAGGTGGCATGTGTGAGAGACAAAGAATGGATTTATTATTTTAGTTACATAACTTGAATGTTATATATATATATTTCATTTTTTAATAAAATCTTTGAAATGCTTTTGAAATTTATTGGGCCAGAAAATTTTGTATATATTTTTTCATAGCTTTATAGCTTTAGTTTAGGCCCTTTTTTTGTTCTTGGGCCTGTCCAAGGTAGGCGGGTTGCAAGGGTTCTTCCCTTTTTTCTCGTATTTTTTTCTTTCTTTTTATACAATTATCAGGTTTACCCCAAAAAAAAAAATTATATACATATTGTGCCAAATTACTTTATTATCTTTGTGGGTGAAAATCCTTAAAATATTGCAAATTGAATCAATTGATATCTTTGATAATAGAGTTGATTAGAACGACTTTGAATAGATGACTTTAGTTTTAGAAAGTTCTATTAAAGTTAAGACACTGTTTGAAATATTCTATTAAGAATTGATGAAGCCAAGAAGTTGCTTACTTGGGGTGACGTTTTGCTTTAATAAGTGGTTGTATATGAAAATTTAGTCAAAAGTTTTTATTATAAGTTTAACCAATATTTTTATTTTAAATGTTTTCTAAGCCTTTTTGCAAGCTACCATATTAGTTAAATACTCAAAGCTTTTATAAGTTTTCATTTTGGAAAGGTTAATAGTTAATGAAATATTTGTGAAGCATGTCTTTTGGCTTCTGGAGAATTATATTATACATTATTATTACTCGGGGAAAGTATAATCTGTCTGATTTTGCTCCCAATTTCCATGTCATGTTTTTTAATATTCGATAAGTGTATAAGCTGAATGATACATTTTGGTGAGAAGAATAATATTGTATGATCAATGCAAGGATATGTTGCTTGGATTCATGCCACATTTTTGGTAACAACAAAAACTGCAACCTTGAGTTTTTATTTGTTAGCTTATATTTATATAAGGTTTGCATTTTGAGCTTTGATAACTATATTATGTTTAAATATGAAAAATTATGATCCATATTGAACTATCACACATTCATCAGTTTGAGTATGGAATCAGAAGAAAGACCATGTTAGGATGTTGGCTTTCAAGAGAACACCCAAAAACCAAGTGGAAAGCAGAATCGTGGTAAAACTGATATGAGAAGGAAAGACGCAATAAATTGTTAGTAAAGTCATATCGACATTGACGCATGCCCAAGGTACTAATCTTAATACTAAACAAATTCTTTCAGAAGGAGTATGTGAACTTTGCATTTGGTGCGATGCTTAATGACAAGTATTTATGTTTGTTACTTAAATGGTTTGATTACGTTTTTGCAATTGCTTTGGGAATCAAAGAATGGAGAGGTACAAATGTTTTTGAAATTTTTGGCGATAAAATCTTGCTGTTGGATATATGGACTCCAAAATTAGGTCTGGGATGCTTAGGTTTCAAAAGTTTTAAGCGACTTTCATGATCATGATCATTATCAATTACCCCTCGACTCTTAATAAAATGATGTTAAACATACCTGTTATTTTTTTAATGCAAGTTAGGAAGTTGGATGGTCATCACAGAAATGTAATGACTCTATGGTGAAACCATCGGAATAGTCACATTTTAGCATGATGGATGGAACCTTAATTTCATTATCTCTTTCATGGATTATAGATAATTTGTTTAAAATCCACATTAATATTGGTAATCATTGAGCTATTACGAGGAGAGTTAACACGATTGTCATTAGCACTCCTCTATTGTTAAATACATCAAAAATTTAAGTTTACCGATGATTTACGAAAACATTAAAATATGTAATTAATTGCTTTGTAACTAAACAACCTATAAATGTGGTTATTAACAAAACTAATAAAAATAGTATATATTTACAATTAGATGATGTTGATAAATGCAATATTATTGATAAAAGCTAATGTGTAATTAGGGCAAGTTTGAACTAATTAAATTATCTTGTTTTAAGTATTAAATCTTATATATTGTTTCCTATTTCAATTAATTATCTTGTTTTGAGTAATAATAAGTTTGTTGTTTTACAAATTATTCACGTTTTCTCATAAATGTTAGAAGTCATTTTCATCTTTTTGTATCACCTATGTCACATTATGTGAATTACTTTACGGGGAGATTTTCATAAAATCTCCCTACGAGGTTTGCCTATTCATTAAACTTGTGTCACTTTTGAGTAAAATTATCAAGATGCGCAATACTATACTCACAAATTTTCTTTCACAACTTCAGCGTGGCACTCGCAATTGATCAATTCATAAATGGGTCAGGTGTGCTCGCTATAGGTCTCATCTGCCTAATTACGAGCTAACTAATTACAAACTATCACGTTGAGATTGTAAAAGAAAGTTTACAAGATTGGGT